CCTTCATGACCATTTAGGGGACATACCTCCCTGACTGAGTCTTATCTTGTATAATATTGGGAGATAAGCAAAGTAAGAACTGGTTAATATTTGGATGGGAGACTGCCATGGAATCAGGTGACGTCGGCTTTTTTGGAGTCCTGGTGTGGTGCTGGGGACTAATGCACTGAACTGCAAGGTCAGTTTGAACTGCAAAATCAGCAGTTCAAGCTCACCAGTCAGTACTTGGAAGCCCTATACAGGGTCATTATGAGTTGGAACCAAGTCAACCACACTTAATACAAAAGGAGACAGTCTGAAACCCAGAGGTGGTGCTTAAGGATAAACCCTATACTGCTAACTGCAAGGTTGGTGGCTCAAGCCCACCTTGAAAACCCTGTACAGAGTCATTATGAATAGGAGCTGACTCAATGTACTTAACAACAACAACATGTATTCATTTTCTGCTCTTGTGAGAACAGTGCCTTTGGAAACTAGATATGGTAACAAAGAAGAACAGAACTCTGGAATAAAGTCCTCAGATAAACACAATATAAACAATATAAACTTCATAAGACTATTAGAGAAATCCTTCCATTCTGGTTTCCTTTCTTGTTGTTCTAACTGAGCTGTTCATCCTGATGATGAAAATCAATGCTCATGGCAATCCCTCCTCTATTCCTGCCTCCCGCAGCACTCACTGGGTTTCACTGTGTCTCCACTGGGGCATGGCCAAAGAGTGTGAATCCACTGCTCCCCCTCTGTCTGTTGGGTGATGAGGGCTGAGACACCTTCCTCAGGACTGGCAGGAAGACAGACTCAGACATTAGCTATCTGATGTGGATAATGAATCTGAGGGGAAGAGACACAGGTATGTAGCCTGATGGGTGAGGATGGGCACTCTGAAGGACTAGAGACACAGGCTAACAATTTATAGTCAAATCATTTTGACTAGACAAAGCCCAAAGCTCATAATTAGCCTTACTGATCTATGGTATCCCAGTCTCTGTGGGCTTGTTAAAATAATGGATGAGGGAGGAGAAAAGTTAATGTCCTGGAATGGTCAGGGCCCTTCATCTTCTGAGGAAGACTTGCAGCTATATTATAACTTCTGTCTGATAAATTTACCAGCTGATCCTCAGAAAGCCTATACAGGACTGTATTGAATTAGAACCTACTTGACAAAACTTACCAACAATATGAAAATCAGAAAATTTCTATAATTAAAAAAATCAGTGAAGGATTTCAATAATAATAAATTCAGTGAGTTGATGAAGTAATTTAGATAGTATTAGAATTTCTAAACTGAGAATATGATACTATGAGGGGACTTAAAGGGTTCATGGACAAACAGAATTAAAAGATAATGAAAGCTTTCCATGACATTTTTTAAGCTGTCTTGTACTACCATGTCTCATTTAATATTTGGACCTCTGAAGATAATTTTCAAGCTGAGACAGCTTTTGGAAATAAAAGAGTTTTGTAAAAAGAAAGTAAATATACTGGCACCAGTGACTAGATCTATATTTTGGATTCAAATAATTCATAATTAAAACACTCATGCATCCCTTTAGGATGGCAAACATACTAGTCTCTGAATTCTATCATCATTGATTTCTGGTAAAATAATTTTTATCTATACACATCTACTTTGGGTCACTAAACAAAAGAATCACCACTCACCAGTCCTTTCTGGCACTATGGTGTTGTTATGATTTTGGAATCTATGTCACTGGTATTTTAAATATCAATATTTTAAGTAACAGTAAGGTCATTCATGGAACGAGGAATTGTATTGCTGATGTCCCATGGATCTTGGCTGAAAGCAGAGAATATCAGAAAGATGTTTACCTGTGCTTTATTGACTATGCAAAGGCTTTTTGTTGGGTGGATCATGACAAGCTATGGACAATATTCCAAAGTATGAGTATTCTGGACACTTAATTGTGCTCATGAGGAATGTGTACATGGACCAAGACGTAGTTGTTCAAACAAAACATGAACACACTGAATTGTTTAACCTTAAGAAAGGTGTGTGACTTGGTTACATTCTTTCACTATACTTATTCAACCTGTAGGCTGAGTAAACAATCTGAGAAGCTGGGTTATATGAAGAAAAACTTGGCATTAGAAAAGGAGGAAGAGTCATTAATAAGCTGTGATATGCAGATGATATAACCTTGCTTGAGAAAGTGAAGCAGACTTAAAATATTTACTGATGAAGATCAAAGAGCATTTTTTGATATGGATTACATCTCAATGTAAAGAAAACAAAAATATACACTTGAGTTGGATAGAAAGGAATGACGGGAAACATGATTGCAGAGCGTGTAAGCCAGTCTTCAGCCTATAATTAATTGAAATGCTTAAAAGGGGCTCTACAATTTGCCCAGTAAAATAGCTTTCTAGCACAGCCTTGGCAGTGTATAGAACCTTAGGTGGAATTCTGAACCCCATCCAGAACCTTCTGAGGTGGGACATTTCCACTAGAAAGGAAGAGCAGACCAGTCTGGAACAGCTAGAGCAATACAAGATACATCATCTAAGAAGGATCAACAGGAAAAAAAAATGGTAATATGGTTGGCTATTATAAGAACAAGCAAGTTGTTTGCCGGGAAGCCATCAAGGCAAGCAATCAAGTCTCTTCAGAACAAACCCTCCTCTAAGACGGAACCTCAAAGGGAACACATGAGCAGGTATGCAAGCTTGGTGGCAACCCCGTTGCTCCTCTGGTGAGTGGAAGAAGGGAAAGGCAGCAATGAAGAAATGGGCTGAGTTCAACCATGTTGCATAAAATTCCATTGACCTGGAGAAGAAAGAGAGAAGACGGAGGGCTGGATGGTACAAAGAGTTGTGAGACCTGGGGACACCTGAGCCTAGGGACAAAGACATAGCTGAGAGTGAAGAATCCAGCTGATATGAAGTGAGGGGAGATGCACAAGAATGCCCAGACTTTAAGATAGTACCCATTGGACCTAGACACAATGGCTTGATAATCAGAATTCAACTTTGTTGTTAAGTGCCATCGAGTTGATCCCAACCCATAGAGACCCTGTGTAGGGTTTCCAAAGAGCAGTTCGTGAGCTTGAACCACCAACCTTGCAGTTCAAATAGCTTTGCAGTCTGATGCATTAACCTACAGTGCCACACCAGAATGTAAGTAGAGAAAGATAATAAAAAAAAAAAAAAAAATTGGTAAAGGAAACAAGTGTAAATTGCTACAATTTGATGCACTTGACCTACACTTATGAATGTAGTAGCTCAAAATACCAACTGAAAGGGAAGGTGTCTTCTCATCAAGTATCAATCCTATCCCCTCTGTATAGAGGATTGATAGGGATGGGCAACTTAGATACTGGCTACCTAATATGGGGAGGAGAGAACGGGGACTATAAAGGCATGAAGTGACTGGCTTACATGTTTTCAAGAGGAAGTTACCTACTGAGTAGTTTCCATCTTGTCTAGGCGGATCTGATGAAAAAAGATGGGACTAAGATTCTTATGATTCAATAGTGAGTAATTGTTATTATGATTAACTGTGACTGACACAACTGTAAAAGTAGAAGTATTGTAATAAAAATGGGGGAGAAAAAAACAACAAATGAGTCAGAATCCTTCAGGCATATTCTATCACATCCTGCATAGCTTTAACTGCAGAGAAAGTTTCCTGGGAAAGGGCTGTGACACACTGCATATGCTTTAAAATTGATGACCTAATTTATTTGGGGTATATGTTTAAATCAGTACAATGTTTAAAGAAACAAAAATAAAAAACAGATTTAGTACTACAGTCTATAATCACATAAAAGGAAAGAAGGAAAAAGAAAACAAACCTGTAACAAAATATGAGTATGACTTTAATGTCCCTTTTTTGGCCAGCTTGGGCCATTCTGGGAGACTGTTCTGTTTGTAGCAGTTTCTGGTATCTCCTCCCATTTATGTAATTTTTTACACAAAAATCTTTGTTCAGCAGATCTCTGTGCATGTGTTTTAGAATTCTGTGGAGGGTGATCTAGTGGGGGTGGGGGGTGGGGGGTGTTCACACATTCAGGCAACCCCTCTAGTAACCAAAGTGTTGTTGTGCAGACAGTGAGAGACCCAAGAAGAGACAAACAAACAAACACAAAAAGAATGTCCACAACTTTATCTCCAATGATCATCAGATGTTAGGAATGAGAGGGCTTTTCTGACACTTCTCTTGCTCCACCATGCCCAAGAGGTACACTCCAGGAGCTGACTAGGGTTTGCTGATCAGAAAACAGAATTTCTTGCCTCTGTTACACTGCAATTCCATTGGTTGTAAACCTTCAAACTTTCTAAATATTCCTTTATATGTAGATTTGAGTTCTGGGACCAACCCCTGAACTTCCTTCATCCAGTATTCTGTGTTGTTGCTTGCAGAGTTTTGCAATACACATCTCCCTAATCTGCCATTGAGCCCTGCTCAGTACACTTTTAAGATAGGAACTTTCAACTGAGATTACCTTCAGTCATTAACACAGCAGTACTAGAATGAAATCCTCATTTCACAGTGTGTAGGATAAGCAATGAACTACTAACCCCAAGGTCAGCAGTTCAAACTCACAAGGTATTCCTCTGAAACACTATATAGTGTTACTATGAATAACAATCAATTTGACAATAATTAACAATAACAACAAACCAGAATGAAGGAGATACAGACATTATCAGACAAAGGACATACCTTAAAGATAATGTGATATATTTGCAATTACTCTGGTAGAATCATATCAAAGAACAAATTGGATGATGTGCATAGATTCAAATAGGAGAAGTAGAACTAGTGAATTGAGGCTAAAAAGTGATATTTCAGATAAATAAGAGTCTGAATAATTATGAACAAAAATATACATGGAGCCTGTGAGTGAGAGAGTTATTTTCATTGGAAGGACTCAATAACAAAATACAGATGGTGTTGTAAGGTTGACAGTATGAAAGATGTCATTTGGCTGTTCATGAAATGTTGCTTTATCCTCTTTCCCAACCTACAGACAAGCTCTATGGAGTCAGTAAACCAAACAAAATTTCCAGAATTCCTCCTATGGGGCTTCTCTGAGGAACCAGAACTTCAACCTGTCCTCTTTGGACTCTTCCTGTGCATGTACTTGGTCACTGTGCTTGGGAACCTGCTAATCATCCTAGCTATCAGCTCAGACCCCCACCCCCACACCCCCATGTATTCATTCTTGCCCAACCTGTCATTTGTTGATATCTGTTCAATCACCACCGCAGTCCCAAAGATGCTGGTGAACATCCAGACACAGAGAATAGACATTTCCTACATAGGATGCCTTTCTCAGGTGTATTTTTTCATGATTTTTGCTGGAATGGACTCTTCATAATCTACTACCCTACCAGGACTCCTTGGTCTTCCAAATAGAAGAGAATAATTCTACCAATCATACACCACTGCCTCTGTTTTGTAAATCATAAAGTTGGTCATGTGTGCTTTTTGATGATCTATTTTCTCCCTTCTCCAAATTATTATTTTATCATTTATGGTGCTGGGTTCAAAGAATGGAGGATCTCTAATACTCTTTTCTGGTTTTCCACTTGACTTCATTGCTAGCTTCTTCTAATTACAATCCGTAAAAGTCACAACACCCTAAGAAGTTCAACATTTTTCTTGTATCTGTTTTCCAAGTTGTTGTTGTAGCTTCTTTTGGAGGTTACTATTACTACAAAATAGCAGATCACTGCTATCTGCAATGAAGAAACTCAAGTATTTCACACAGTAGTGTGGTGAAGCAAGCAAGGTGTAAGGCAGACCAATGTGTGGGAGGAAGAGGGACTTCATGCTGTCTTAAGGCTGGTTCCCAGAGGGATAAAGGAAGGAAGAATTTGTAGGAATCTTGAGCATGGGGTAAGTGTCTGAAGAATTTCAGTAACTTCTTTGTTGTTTTGTTTATCTCAACTCATGCTGACACGCTGTCTCCAGCAGGCATGATTTTTAGTGATTAATTTAGGTCCTCTCAGGTTGTTGTTCTTAGATGTCATCAAGTTGGTACCAACTCAAAGAGACTTTATGCACAACAGAACGTAACACTGTCCAAACCTGGTCCAACCTCACAATTGTTGCTATGTTTGAACCCATCGATGTTAGCACTATGCCAATAAATCTTGTTGGGGGTCTTCCTGTTTGTCTCCAACCCTCCACTTTACCAAATATGATATCCTTCTCCAATGACTGGTCCCATGATATCTTTCTCCAGTGACAATATGGCTGAAGTATGAACGACGATGTCTGGCCATCCTGGCTTCCAAGGAGCACTGTGGCTGTGTTTCTTCTAACCCAGATCTATTTGTTTTTTTTGACATGCCATGGTACTTTCAATATTCTCCTCGCACACCAATAACTTGAATGCATCCGTTCTTCTATGATCTTCCTTATTCACTGTTCAACTTTCACATGCATAAGAGGTTATCGATGCATGTGAAATTTGAACAGTGGTTCAGGTGCACCTTAATCCTCAAACTGACATCTTTGATCTTAAACGCTTTCAAGAGGTCTTGTGCAGCAAATAATCTAATGTTAATATAAGGGGATTCACAAGATATATATATGTTTTTCTTCATTCCAGTAATAGCCTTTTAGGTGAAGGTTAACTACTGATTCATCTATACCTACTAAATCAACTGCCATGGAGTCAATTCCAATTCAGAGTTATACTGCATAAAGTTTCTGAGTCTATAAAGCTTCACAGGAGAAGACAAACTCATTTTCTCCCATGGAGTAGCTGGTGAGATTGAAGTTTCAACCTTGTGGTTAGCAGTTCAGTGCTTACCCAGTAGCACCATCAGAGAACCTTATTTATCTATGCGGTTTTTTAAGTGTCCTCAAGTCAGTTCCAACCCATAGTGACCTTGTATAGGGTTTCTGAGGAATGGCTGGTGACCTTGAACTGACGACCTTGTGGTTCAAACCAATTTTGCAATCCAGCACATTAACCCACAGTGCCACACCAGGAGTCCATTTATCTATAGGGAAGTATAAACAAGGACTAATACTAATGATATCTTTATTTGCAAAAAAAGAGTTATCTCAGCCAGTTTCAGATTCAAAGGGTATTTATGGTCTTCTTACTTGCAAGATGGAGTCATATTAGTGAGCTGAGGCTTCATTATTATCTCTATATTGCTAGGTCTTTCAGTCCTATATAACTATTTTACCAACTTCTGTTATTGAGTATATTTCATGGAGTTTTCACTTTTCTTTATTGAATATTGACTTTAAATTCTACAGGGAAATAAAGGTATTTGTGAAGTGTCTACAATTTGAATATTAATAAACATGATCAGGGAGGAAGGTAGAGACCCCACTGAACAGTTTTTGTCTTGTCTAGATGAGTCTGGTGAAAAGAGATGGGGATCAGATTCTTATGATTCAGTACTTAATAATTTTTCTGATGACTAAGTTCAACTGTCACAGCTATAAAGGAGGAAGTTTTGTAACACAAATGAGAGAAGTTAATCTTACAGTACAGAACAAAGGACCCTAGGACCATCAAGGGAGAAGAGCACAAGCCGAATGTGGGACCCTATCCAGAGAAGCAGCAACACCAGGGATGGAGGCAGAGATGAAGACATGGAAAGAGGGAGCAGTTGAGAACTCTGGACTCATGGAAAGAGAGGGACTGGGTACTGGTGGCCAGGAGGGAGGCTTTCAGAGTGTGCCCTTTGGTTGTTTAAATTATTATATACACCCCCACCAAAAAATAAAAACAAATGGAATAGAAATAAATATTGCTAAATGATGATACATAGAGGAGATTGTAACCATTGCAATGAAACCGTGTAAAGGCAATGTTGTCCCATGTAAACTATCACTCAGTTCACAATAAAAACTTAAATAAAAAAAGAAGCATGATCAGGAAAAACAGATGCATTGCAAATTTTGTCAAGAACATATATCTGAGGATAATATTGGTGATATCATAGTTCCAATTACTCTGTCTCTATTGGTGTTCTGTTGTTGTTGTTGCTTGGTGCCATTGAGACAGTTTGGATTCACAGTGACCCTATGCACAACAGAATGAGACTCTACCCTATCCTGCACTATCCTCACAATTGGTGTTATATTTGACTCCATTGTTGTTGCCACTGATGTTGTAAGATAATCAGTTCACCAAATCATGATAAGTACATTAGGTTTTTTCTTATTTTTCTTAGGATAACCAAGGGTCATGATTTTGGCTAACAGGAGCTCTTGACTTTCACTTGTAACAGTCTTAATGAAGACTTGAGTGCTTCCATGTGTTGTCATCTTTGTACATCTTCTGTGTTCTAACACATTCTCATGCATATGACCTTTAGAAATAGTGGCATAATTGCTGAGGGAGAAAAATGGGCCTCTCAAGAAATTGTCCAATTCACACCTGAATTTGCTGTCTTTTACCAGTGAGTTAAGGAATTCTGGTAACATAGTAGGATTATGGATTTGGCTACTAACTGTAGCATCAACAATTTGAATGTATCAGCCACTCCATGAGAGAAAGATGAGGCTTTCTGCTTTCAATCTACAGCCTTTGAAACACTATGTAGGGTTGCTAGAGTTGGAACCACTCCATCGCAAACCACCACCACCATGAACACTTAGTTAAATCACCCACAAGCTTTATAGATTAGAAATCTTGATACTAGAGAATGGAATACATTTTACAGAGGATGACACTATACCAGTTCATGGGAAGACATAACTCCCATTAAAAATTATAAATGTAATATTCTACATCTCTGGTAATGACTGAAAGTTTATGGATCCTGTCTACCCTAGGACCTATTTACATATACACTTATGACAACCTAAAAATGGCCAAAAGAGATTTGATGTATCCGAGGTAATATTTCCTTTTGTTGATTCATGGTAGACTTTCCCCATTAGTTTTTTGTTTTCTGTTTTTTGTTCCCATTTAATCTTTAAGATTTAGAATGATTGATACTAGTAGATTAATACCATGAATAGGGATAACGAATGGAGCAGCCATGTCAGAGGCTTCTAACTGTTCTTGTTGTCAGTTGCCATCGTGTCAGTACCGACTCATAGCGATATTATGCACAGCAGAATGAAACATTGCCCGATCCTGGGCCAACCACACTATCATTGACACGATTCCACACATTGACGCTGTCACTTTGCCAATCCATCTCACTTGGGGTATTCCATTTTTTCTCTGACCCTCCATCTTACCAAACATAATATAATTCTTCTTCAACTGGTCCCTCCTGACAATATGTCTGAAGTATGACAGATGACGTTTGGCCATCCTGGCCTCCAAGCAGCACTCTGGCTGAACTTCTTCCAATACAGATCTGTTGGTTATTCTGGCTGACCATGGCACTTACAATATTCTCCTCCAACACCATCATTCAAATGCATCAATTCTTGTATGGTCTTCCTTATTCACTGTCCAGGTTT